TGGTTACTATGAGATTATTTGGAGGAGTATAAATATTTTAATAATATCTCCAATTAATGAACATAGAATACTGCATTTATGTCTTCTACAGTATCATCATCCATCAACATCAGTTTTTGTTAATCTCACCAAATGAGAGTAAAGACCATTACTCATATTCTTTTAGTCAAATTAAGCAAGCTTTATTTTCTGTCAGACAGGGTTGTCTCTCTCAAGCAACATTTGAAAGAACAGTCTTGAACCCAGGAGAAAATAGAGTTTATATTAGCCCCAGAGCTGCAAGGATAGGGGGTTTTCAAGGAAGAGTCCTCCATAGATAGGTGCTTGGTTTGTTTGTTTGTTTGTTTTTATTGTTGTTGGTTTTTTTTTTTTTTGACACCATTAGCTCTGGCAGTTGGCCAAACTAAAGGTATGCCTCGGGGGCCTGGGAATGTCTCCACAGTGAATACTCCGAAGAGAGCTTAGCGTTAGTCCCAGAGGGCCAGAGGGAAGGCTCTGGATTCTGAATTTCTAAATTTGGGTTGGGGTCTTGATCTCACAGAGCCTCCAACTTTTAGACCCAAAGCTGTGAGGAGAAAGACCACTGACCCAAATCATCATGGCCAAATTAAAGCAAGCGATTAATTAAAGCAAACATTTTATTTGTATACAGGGACTGCTCCCCCTAAGGCGGGGTTCTTAGTCATAGGGAAGATGAGGATTTTACAGTTTAGGGGTGTTCCAAATGGAGGATTGGGTAGGCAACTAGGAGGAGTTATAGAAGCAGAACATGACTAGTTGGTCACAGCAACCTCCTGTGAAACAAAGACATGGTTTCAAGGTGGTCCTACCAAGGTAGTCATAACAAAAGTTGACTTATAGGTAATTTTACCATTCAGGCTGTAAAACTCAGCACAAAATCAGCACCACCAGCCAAAACAAAAGCAAAGATCTAATCTATAATTCTGGAAAGTCTCCAAAGGAACTAACCTTGCTTTTTAAACCCTGTAGTTCAGCTTCTGCCTAACTATTCTTGTTAACTGAAATATGTCAACCCAAAACATGGTTTTTATGCTTAAAATCCCACCCTGAGAAAGACTTGGCAGAGATTGACTTAAGAATGTATGTCTAGCCTCCTTGTCTTTGCTAACTTTGTTAAGCTTTAGCTATTTTGATAAACTGAATCATACAAGAAACTGATATTCTGCAACGGTGCACTAGAAAAAGACCAGGAAAAATAAAGTTGCCAATATCCCTATGGACTGTATTTATGATTTAAAGTTTTATTTTGATAAGCTTTATTTAGCCTCCTGGATATGTTTTCAAGGTTAAACCTAAAACAAGTAACTAAAAACAAAGAAAGTTTATTTAAAATTAGTTATACTTAATAGATGGCCCTCGAAACTTTTCCAAGATCTGCAGAATATGGCATTTTAAATGCATAAAGGAAAAGCTCCCTATGATAGAAATTCCAACTCCTAGCAGTGACTACAGGGTCTCCAAAAAAAAAAAAAATAGAGGATGGGGGCACAGACAATAGACAACTCCACCTCTTCACCTGAAATATGGTGACATTATCCACTGGTAAAAACTGCCCCTGCCCCCAGGGCTCTGCCCACAATGTGGACACTGTTGGGTTAACTGCCCAGCTCTACCTTGTCATAGTAGGTGAGTTTTTCCAAGTTCTTCCCCCACAGGAAAATCTCTCAGACCTTCTGACTCTGGCAGTCAGTGGCTTATGGTTTCCTGTGCAGCAACTGAAGATGTAACGCTGTCCTACATGACAGCCAAAGACTGACTACTGCCCCCAACAAAGGCACCAAAACCATTGAAACCTAGGGTAACCACCCAGGTAGCAGTCTCTGTCATTTTAATTGATAATAGGCCATTTAGATTATACTTCCTGCTATAATTATCCTTATCAGATCTCTGATGTTGATAGCTAACTATAGCTTTATCAATTTAGCAGCAGCTGCCTGGTCAATGCATTTCATATATAAAAACAAGTTATTAGGTTTCTAGAGCTATTAGGTCACCTGATGAAAAAGGCAAACTCACAGGTTTGCCTTACTAACAGGGTTTATATTTAAGAATAAGTAGGTTTCTGGTGTAACTTTTATTATTTAAATGAACTTGCTTTACAAATCAACCACTATGTATGTCTAATATATGGATAAAATGTTTATGGTTTATACAAATTATGGAGATCTAAAAATAATTTAAATTATAAATTTCTGAAGATATAAATCTAAATAATGAGGCTCTAAAATGATTTAATGTTTATAAATACAAATTACTCTATGCGATTGTTATACTAAGATTTCAAAAGTTCAAAGTTTTAACATTAATCAGTGAGGTTCTGATAAACTGTTAAAGCACTGACTATTATTGTCAGTCACAAGCTCATGATTTTAAATTTCCTCTGAATGTCTTGTAAGTATAGACTTAAAGATGCTTCTCATCATATTAAAACATCTCTGTCTAATCTATATATATATACATTCAGCCTTTTGGACAGAAAAAATAAGTGATCACTCTTTTAATCCAAAGTCATAACTTTTGCTATGACTCGAAGGCTATGAATCTACTCCAGCTGTTTTACAGACACTTGTTAGCTGTTTTTTCTACAATGTGGATTTCAGAACAAATTACAAACAATGATAAGCTTCAGGGAATTGAGAAAGTCACAGACTTTAGATCCACCTCTCACAGATCAAATGAACTCCAAATTAGTACTCCTGTCAATCAACGGCCTAAGATTCCCTGACTATTGCCTATTCCTGAGGGGGAAGCCCTAAATATAAAAGTTTCCTTTTGAGTTCCTTAACTTTAACTTCTGTCCCTAGTCGCTATCTGTCTTGGCATAGTTCCACTTGGCTGGTTGACACAATAACTCCAAGGTGATCTACACCACACCAGCCTCCCTGGTAGACCTACAAAATTGGTAAGTCCTGGACTTGCTGAAAACTGATATAAACTACTACAGACTATGTGATTGCTTCCTGTCTCTTCAGGCAGGTCAGCAAACCAGATGCTTCTGATGATATCCAATTACCCTAATCCCCTCCCAGCCATTAACATTCCAGCCTTCCTGAGCCCTGAGAAAGGAAGCAGTTACAAAAGAGAACAGATAACCCCTCATCCTCAACAAAAGGCTGGAATATTTAGATCAAAAGGAAACTCCTGAGATGACATATGAAGATGGTTGGCTACTCAAACCAGAAAACCCTATCAAATCATGCAAATCAGAGGTTCAAATCTTCATCTTCACTTTAAGAACACCAGTGAAACTGCTCAGCCATCAAGGGACTGCATATCCAAAAGCCACCATGTATCTGAAAGATGTCACTTTAAAGAAGCAATGAGTGCTATTCCGGGGGTATAATGATAAAGTGGGTAGGTGCACCCAGGTTAAACAGTGGGGTTGGACACGGGGTCAGTAGTCAAAAAGAGTGCTGATTTTTTTTGGTGAACATACCTAAAAATGCAGAGATAATGCTGAACTAAAGGTTTAGCTGTAGATTGTATAGTCAGGTTGAACAAAGCACCCAAGATTCGAGGACAAATTTACAGAGCTCATGGCTGGATTAACCCATACATGTGCTCCCCCTGCCACATCAAGATGCTCTTCATTGAAAAGGAACAAATTAATCCAAAGCCAGAAGAAGAGGTTTTGCAGAAGAAAAAAGATATCTCAGAAGAAACTGAGGAAACAAAAAAAGGGAACTCTACAACGGAGGGTTAAAATGGCTACCTATAGTACCTATTGGCATACCAAGATTACATGGACTTAAAACATTTGTTCTTTCTGTGCCAACAAAACAGGTATAATTTATAACGAGGCCATTCATCTTTTGATGTATTAAAATTTTATTTCCCCTAGATAAAAAATGCTAAGACCCTATTAATGATTTGATAGGGACACATAAGACAAGAGGGGAATGATGAACCAGCCTGCCTCTATCTTAGGCTTGAAAGCCATCTTAAAATAAAGATAAACTAGGTTATTTCCTGTTTATGATTTAATCTGTTTGTTAAGGACTGGGCTATGTCCCACCTGTAATGGGATATTAAGTAACTACAAGTGGTTAACTACTGCCTGTGCCAGGAAATAGCAACCATGCTTTTTTGTCAAAAGATTATTATGACCACCTGTTGTTATGATCACCTTGTTATGACTGACTACCTTATTAGGACCACCTTGCAACCATTGTCTTCGTTTCATGAGAGGTTGTTATGACAACTCCTTTTATATCCCCAACTATTTGCCTGCCCAACTCTGCATTTGGAATCTCCCTCCTCCTGAGCTATAAAATCCTTATCTTGCCTATGTCCAAGTCTGACCTATTGAACCCCGCCTTAGGGAGAGCAGTCTGTGTACACAAAAAAGTTTGCTTTAATTAATTGCTTGCTTTAATTAATTTGGCCATGTTGATTTGGGTTGGGGGGGGTCTTTCTCCTCAAATCTTTGGGATTAACAGTTGGTGCCTAGGATAGTTTTTCCCTGGCCTTCTCATGATGAACTACACTCACCTTTAGGTCTCAAAGCTCTATAAGGTTACCATCATTTATTAATTTGTCTCACGGTATTACGGTGCAGTTTCCCAAGTACTACACTAAATTCACTACTTGTGTTTGTTTCCTTCATGACTGAAACCTAAGGAGGCAGGTCTCCGGGGGTAGGAGTGGAATTGGGGGTGTGCGTTGTGTGTGTGTGTGTGTGTGTGTGTGTGTGTGTGTGTGTGTGTGGGTGGTGGTGGGGAGTTGTTGCTCAGCCCTTGCAGTTGCTTCAGCATCCTTGCTAGTTTATTTTCAGAACACGACCTTTGCTTTGCTTCCTGGATAACATTTATAAGAAACCTTGACCTTGCCTCAGTGTCTGTTACACCCTCTATCCAATTTTTCAGCCTACAAGCACCCTGGCCTCTGAGAACCACGCCCCCCCTCCAGTGGCGCCAGAATGCTAGACTACAACTCCCACAAGGCAACGCGCGCCAGCAGCAGCAGCCAATAGAACGCGGTGTTGCTGGCCTGTGTCCCGAGTGGAGAGTCTAGGGTGCGGAGCGGCGTCGTCCTGGTTGCTGTGGAGCCGGCTCGCGTGGCCGCACGCCCTGTCTGCCTACTGTCATGGGCAGCGCCGAGAGCGCCGAGGCCCGAAGGGTGTCTTTCGAGATGGATGAGGAGGAGCGGGTCCGGGTGCTGCAGGGCATCCGGGTGAGAGGCGCGGCGGGAGGGCGCGGGCCCGAGGAGTTTGCGGGCGGGAGCGGGAGCCGCCGTTCAGGGACCAGATAGATGGGGGAGGCCACTGGCACTGTGGGCAGCCGGCCGCCTCTAGTCGGTTTCCACGCCATGGCTCTGCTCCCCCGTTTCCGGATTTGTTCCGCTCTCTACCGCATCTCGCCTGGTGTGTGCGACTGGTTGCGTGTGCTGTAGCACTTCTTGAAAGTGTTCCCCCATTTCCAGTCTTGATAACGTGCCTTCGTGAGGCCCCAAAAGGGGGAGTTTTAGCTACCGTATAATTCATCCACCCTTCTCCTAAAACCTTAATGGTGGGTCTCTACCATGTTGAAGAGGAGGAAACGCCTCACTTGCTTTTACAAGCTGCCCTGGTGCCCCACCAACCCCTTCATCCCTTTCCAGGCCTGTTCCTCACCTTCATAATACACTTATTTTGCTTCAGGACCTCCTTGTTCTCCCCAGAAGATCCCATCTTTTTGATGTTTCTTCAGTTACCATTAATCTGGCAATCATCGTGTTACAGCTCAGATGTCATCCAAAAATCCTTCCTTGACCACAGAGTCTCAAGCAGCTTCCTACAGCACTGTCACACGTTTATAATTTTCACAGCACTCAGCACAGTTTGAAACAAATTGTGTTTATTGGGTTTCCCATTACAGTTCTGGCTGCTTCCTTGGCTGAAGTTCTTTATCCCCAGAACTTAGAAGAATAAAAGCTCCTGTTTTAGTGCAGAGTGGCAGCCCTTTACAGATACTAATTTTCAATAGACCTATGAGAAGTAAAATTGTTAGTGTCCCCTCCTTTGTTTTGTTTTGAGACAGGGTCTCACTGTTTAGCTCAGGCTGGCTCAGAACTCCCAGATCTGCCTGCCTGTGTCCTGAGTACTAGGATTAAGTCACACACCACTAAGTTTGGTCTCTTAGTCCATTTTGTCACTTACGAGAACTGAGGTGCTATTGGCATAACTTGTCCAGGGTCACTTAGGTAGAAAAGCAGGAGGCCTAAGACTAAAGTAGTTTATTCTGTGCAGTACTTGCTTCTACACCTATGTGTGACACATAGTGGGTACCTGGTGTATAATTGTTAAGTGCTTACATGAATGAACTCAGTGAAATAAATCAAATTTAAACAAAATGTTCTGAGTTGAGTCTAGGTGAATTAGAAGGTTCAGAAAAAGACTTCCAAGGGTATAACATCTAAGCTCATTAGTTGTGTGACCTTACATGAATGAGTTGTTTATTGAATTTCACTTGCCCCACTTGAGATTAAGAGGGGAAGGTTATCCTGGGTACTACCAAGGAAACTGTGTAGAAGACATGCAGAATGTTTTGTAGAGGCCTCTCAGAATATCCAGCTTCTTAGGTGCTGCCCAGGTGGTGTTGTTGACTTGGCTTGTGGCAAGGATTAAATGGGGGAAGATGGCTTCTGCTGAAGGCTGAGAGGTAAGAAATTGAGGTAGAATTTAGGAAGATAGCCTTGGCTCAGGATATTTTTCACCTTTGTTACTGGGTTTCTTGTTTTGGGGGTGATGCAGGCCTGAGTCTTCACAGGTTTAGAGAAGTACCATTGGAGGTGACCCTGACTTTTTGTTTCTGGTTCTCATAATAATCCTGTAGAGTATAAAGTCTTTACAATTATTTTCTCTGCTTTTCAAAAATATTCTCTCTCTCTCTCTCTCTCTCTCTCTCTCTCTCTCTCTCTGTGTGTGTGTGTGTGTGTGTGTGTGTGTACCTGCACGTGCTTGCTTGTCTGTATTTGTCTGTATGTGTACCACATTCGTGCACATGCCCAGGGTGGCCAAAAGAAGGGTCAAAGCTCCTGAAATTGGAGATGTAGGTTATTGTGAGCTGCTGCCTCTGGGTGCTGGGAACCAAACTCAAGTCCTCTTGAAGAGCAATAAGCATTTTTAATCACAGAGCCTTCCTTCTACAGCCTAGTTTCTCCACACTCTAGTATAAAGATGGAATATCAAGCTTGGTTCCTAAGGCACCATTTGAGTATCATTTGGGACTAATCTAGATCTATCAGACTCCCTCCAGCCTGATAATACATGTTTAGCAGTCTGAAATTTTTACTTTGCTTCTGCCTGGCCTGTCAGGAATGTTAGTACTTACTTACTTTTATAGGCAATGAAACTGGGGGAACTTCAGTAGTTTTTAGCTTCCTTTTTTAGTTAATCTGAGAGACTAAATGGCTTTTCCAGGGTCAGTCAGTGAGGTGCTTGGCCCCTTGTTGGGAAAGCCATGTCTAGTGTGCCTGGGTTTAAAGAGGAAGAAAAAACATTAAGGTAAAGAAGTGTTTGGTGGAGGGCCTGTTGTTATTAGTAGTTACTTGAGGGTTGAGGAGTTCACTCGGTCTTCAGATAAGTAAAAATAAATAATACATATTTTAACAATTAGATCAATAAAGCAGTTACTCTAGTGAACACATGAGAAGTCAATAAGAGGTAGACTCCAAAAGAGAATATCTGCCCTAGGTGTTTCAGGAAAAAAAAAAATTCTTAGAGACCACTTGTATTTAATCCCCGGGGCCTGATTTCAGTGCTCTTGCTTCCTTAAAATCAAGTGTTAGGGCCTTGCACATTTGAACATTAATTTACATAAATTTACATATCGAGTTCAAGCCCTAATTCTGTGGAAGGTAAAAGAAATTTGATTAATGCAAAATGCTGCAATTATATTCAACTGATTTCAGAGCAAGCATGCATGAAATACATGAAGATTGTTTCAGTCTGTATGTTGAACTTGGTGGTCTTATAAGAGAAGGCAACAATATCTTATAAATGTCTGTTTTTTTCTTTTCCACCCTGTATAAGCTGCCATCCTAGTAATTTAGCTGAACTTGGTTGATTGTTGAAATCTAGACTACTCATAGTTCCCAAACCACTTCTCCTTTTCAGCTATTCACCCCCTATTTCACCACACACTTCGGGAACCTACTTAATTAGCCAGGTGCCCAGGCTCATTCCAGCCTTCTGGCTAGATAAACTTTATCATTACTCATTACACCTATGAGGCAGGTTCTGGACCACCGGGGAAGGGAAATACGATGAAAGATTAGTCAGATACACAGGAGACAATCCCAAAACATTCAGATGCTAGGGAGGCTACTTGCCAGAGCACTTCTGAGCTACTCAGCAAATGCCAACATTTTATTTACCCAGCACTGGTCTGGTCTTACAGAGATGAGGAACAAAGCCAGGTCCTCTGCCATCTTGGAGACTGGAAAGAAAACAAAAAGGGAAGAAATTTAAAAGCTGCAGGTTCTGAGAAGGAATTAAAAGCATGCAGAAAGTAGTAGGACTTATACTTGTTTGAGGTAGGTTGGTGAAGAAATGCTTCACTGATTAGATATGATCTGAGCCGCCCTGGGAAGAATACTTAGTATACTGTGCTAAATGCCGTGCCAAGTGTACTAAGGGTATTTCTTCTGCACATGCTGACCTGTACAATGTCATTGTTCTCATCTATCTTAGAGGTCATTAGTCATTCGAATCTCACAAAGGAGGAAGCAAGTTCAACAATAGGAATCAACCCCAAGGTCATATAGTGAATTAGTGCAAGACTTGGCTCAAGCTCTGACTCTGAAGTGACATTAACATGGTTGGCCTCCATGAGGGGTAAGGATGCCTGGCAAGGCTTGCCATGTGGCAGGATCAGCCTGGGCCTGGATGCCAAGCAAGGCTGTGAACATGTTAGTCTGGAGGCCACGTTGCAGATCTCTAGTCAGGAGTGGTCTTCAAAGATTGGGTGTTGTCAATTTTTGTTTTGTTTTGCTTTTCCTTTTAAAGAAAACAGTCATGTACTGAGATGTATTTTAAATATAGATTTACCATTACAAAACTTTTTAGTAAATGCGCAGAATTGGGCAACTGTCACCTAATCTACTTATAGAATATTTATGAGACCTGAAAGCTATCTTGTGCCTAGGTCACTCCCTATTGCTTATCCTCAACTCTGGGTAACAATTACTCTTTTCTCTATAAATTTGCCTTTTGTGGATAATCTGTGTAGGTGGGTTTGCATATCTTATATGCCTGGCTTCTTTTGCTTAGTGTAATTTTTTTCTGTAATGTGGGGATAGAACTCAGAGTCTTATGCATTCTAGGCAAGAGCTCTACTGCTAAGCCCTAGTGTGGCTTAGTAGTGGAGCCACACTTTAATTTTAAAAAAGCCTTTTCCTTTTTTAAATTTTATGTGTATGAGTATTTTGTCTGCTTGTATATCTGTGTGTCACAAAGGCCAGAAGAGGATGTTGGATCCCCTGGGACTGAGGTAACATACAGTTGTGAGCCACCATGTGGGTGTTGGGAATTGAACCCAGGTCCTGACAACAGCCAGTTCTCTTAACTAATGAACAATCTCTCCAGCTCCTTTTAAACATTTTTAGCATTGCTTTGTTGGTGGTAGTGTATGCCTGTCACATGAAAGTTTTAGTTGGTGAAGGCTACTGTGTTGTATGGGTATATAGTGCATTCATTCAGTCAGTCACCAGTTGGTGGACATTTGTATTGCTCCCATTCTAAGTTGTAATGAATAAAGCTGCTGTGGACGTTTGCTTGTTATTTGTTGCCATTTCCTATGCATGTTAACCTAAGAGTCTACTCTCTGGGTCATTCTTACAAGGTCAAGTTTAACTTTTAAGAAACTTCCAGGTTGTTCCTCAAGTGACTATCTCATCTTCTGTGTTTCCTAGCAATACCTGAGTGTTCTTTCCCTCATTTGTTCTTGCTGTTGTTTGGTTGTAGTGACTAGAAGTGCTGTGAAATAGCATTCGTGTAGTGGTTTGAATTTGTGTTTCTCTAGTAAGGATCTGTGTGCATCTTTTATGGGCTTATTTGCTGCCCACAGACTTTCTTTGGTGAAATGTTTATTCAGGACTTTTCCCATTTTAATTGGGTTGTCTTTTTTATCATTGAGTAATGTTTTCTTTTTGCTGGATCCAAACCCTTTCTTACATTCTAATTTGAAGCTTTT